AATGAGCCTATGAACCTCTGCTGCCTTGGATTAAATGTGAGTTGGGATTCATGGCTGCTCAGTTCCCTCAGTCTCAATTTCCCACTGTCTTTCTTAGAATGAGCATCTTGCTGGGCTGAATAAGCTTTTTGTGTTTAAAGGCACATAGGTTTTGTACAAGGAAGCCTCTAAGCATAATCCATTACTTCATCTGGTGCTCAACTGAAAGAACAGCAATTAGTTGAAATGCTGAAGGAAAAACAGGCTGCATTAGGCTTATTGTATCGCTAGGAGATTCATTCCTTCCTAAAGGATTTTAGTGCAGATTTTTAAGTTGTGAAATAAAATGCACATACACAAAAAGTGAACAAGAATAAATATATAGTATACGCATGAAACATGTAAAATACACACAAACCATGAACAACAGCAAAACAGAATTTATCAACAAAGCAGAAATCTATATAATCACCAGCCAGTCAAGGAATAGTAAGTAGTACAATGTCAGCACCTCAGAAGCCTGCCCTATGCCTCCTCCCCTAAAGACAAGCTATGGCCAGTGCATGATCCAGTGTTTATGCAGGTTCCATGTGAGTTTGAAAAGAGTGTGTGTTCTGCAATTGCAGAGTTCCGTATATGTGCATTAGGTCATTGTTATAGATTGAAGTGTTCAAATCTGTATTGTACTGTTTTGTTTACCAGTTTACTCGTTTTTTAGGAGGTGCACTAAAATTAAAATCTCTCATGACCATAGATTTACTTATTTTCCTTCTAGTTCAGGTAGTTTTTGTTCATTCTAGTCAACTTTTCTTGGCTACCAGGCTACATCAGTGTCACACAAATCCTTCTCGTTATATTAACAATGGCTGGACTTTTTCTGGGCAGAGCTCATATATATATATATATTTTAAATCATAATATTTATCTACTATCACAATTATTTCTTGTCTTCTCCCCTTAAATATTTTTATCTTCTCACACAGTGAGAACTCTGGTTCCCAAGAACCTCAATATATTTACTCATTTGTTCTCTTAATAATTTCAAGAGATACAAGTCAATACAACTATTAACAACAAACCTACATACACACATATATAATTTTTTCCAGTCTTTGTATCTTTATAACAAAGTCAGCACATTTTTTTCAAATATTACTTGAATGAACTATTTGAGGTTTTAGTCCTATATTTCTCTTATTCAACTTTTCAGTTGGCTTTTTTCCTTTTAATTTTTTTGAATAAATGAAATACATGGTTTTAAAAGTCAAACTATTCATTCAGGGAATGTTTACTCTCTTGCACAACATTCCCACCCCGTATGGCTAGCCATTTTCATTAGTTTCTGAATTATCTTTCTCATGTTTCTTTTTCTGAAAATAAAGCAAGTATTTATATGTAATTTCTCCTTTCTCATGCAATAGTAGCATGTGGCATGTTATGTATATTTACACCTTGCTTTTTTAAGCTTACCACATAGCCTGGATATTTTCCCAGTTTAGTTCCTAGAGATGTTTCTTTCTCCTTCCTTTCCCTTCTGTCCATCCTCTTCCTCCCCCTTGTGTAATATAATTATAAGGGTGTTTCATAATTTACTCAACCAGTCTCCTATGGATGAGCATTTACGTTGCTTCTCAGTTTTGATTTTTTTTTTAATAGGATCTGTGTAGAATTATATGGGGAGTAACTTGTGAATATATGTGGTTTTATACTTGTGGAGGTATATCTTAAGGGTAAATTTCTAGAAGTAGGCTTGTAAGGTTCAGCAGATATAAAGGCTGTGAAGCAAGGGCATGTAGCTGGTGTGCTGATGGAATAGTGAAGAGGTCACATTCAAAAACGGGCCTAGGGATGGAAAGTAACCTGCCCCAATCCTCTTCCCCCGTGGCCGAGCTGCATGAGGGCCCTGGCCTCCATCCGTCCTTTCAGCCCACGGCAGCGCACTTCACAGGGAAGGCAGACGAACACAGGTGTGTTTGACCAAGGCCGGCGTTGTCAGGGCTGCTAGGTCCGAGGAGGGAGAAGTTTCTATGGGCCCAAGTCAGATGAGACTCCACAGACGAGGTGGGACATGAGGGATGAGTAGGATTGGGGTAGCAGCTGACGGAGCTGGGCCACACTCCTGGCTTTTAGAACTAGCTGTGGGTAAGGGCTAGGAGGTGAAAACAAAACGCATGGAGAGTTTGGGAGATGATGCCAGGAACTGAATGTATGTCTTGGAGAAATGAGAGAAAAAGTAGAAACAGGTAAGTGAACTGGACCTTATTATAAAAATTCTTGGATTTTAGGATGAAATTCAGAAGTTGATTAAAGGATGAAATTCAAAGTTGATTTAATTGTCTGGAGAATCACTGCAAATTTTTGAAGTGGGAACAAGATGATCCGTGCCTTCGTGCCTTCTGCAGTTTGTGGTACTAGTGTCCAGGATCTAACCACTACTCAGTGGAAATCTATGTGCCTGGCTCCGGTAGGTGTCGTTGTTAGCTGATACTTTGTTAAACTGTTCTCTTATTATCTTTGAACATAACTTCACATCTGTATTAGAAAATACTTAGATGCCAACAAAGACTCGTGGCATCAATCAAGTTTTCTAGTTGCCCGCCCCTGTACTTGGAGCTTAATTGGTTATAAGGTGGGAGGAAAACCCACATACACAAAAAACAAACGCACACACAAAACAGGATAGGACATAATCCTTTCTCCTAAGGGCTTGAGGAATGTGACAAAGGAATACTTACTGTCCTTTTACTGGGGAGGAGTAGGTAGCAGTTTGCTCTATTCCTTGCTTTCCTTCTACTGGAGTTAGGTCAGAGCTGTGCTGTCGGTGGTTTAGCCACTTACCATGTGTCTACTGAGCATTTGAAACGTGGCTAGGCTGAACGGAAGTGTTCTGTGAAAGTGTAGGTACTTCCAATTTTAGAGACTTAGTATGACAAAGAGAATACAAAATATCTGAATAATAATTTTCTTTTATATTGATTACATGTTGAAATATTTTGTATAATTCGGGTTAAGTATATTAAAATAAATTTCATCCATTTCTGTTTACTTTTTTTAAAACCAGAAAATTTAAAATTACATATCAGGCTGGCATATTTCTATGGGACAGTGTAGTCTAGAGACAATGAAATTTAGTTTTAAGCACTTTTCTATTGCATTGTATCAAGAGTTGTGTAGTATCAGTCTGTCCCGCTTGTAGTGATACTAAAACTGATAATTTTCCAAATTCTCCACTTTACAGAGATACGTTTTGATCATTTCCAACACTTTCCATTATAAAGATATATATTTTTAAATCACTTCAGAGATTTCGTTGTAAAAAATATTTTAAAACAACACTTCCAGAACTGTCTATGGTAAAGATACATTTTTTAGTATTTCTGGAACTCTCCAGAGAAAAGATACATTATTTCTTTTGCAACTAGAAATCTGGCACCTTGGGAATGTTCTGTTCTCAATGTTTTACCTTATAGTTTTAGTACCCCCTTGAAGACCCTCTCCTGAAGAAGTTATGCTGGGGGCTGCGCAAAATGGTCCTTTTCTAATGCTATCATTTCTCATAAATACTTGTCATTCTTCTATAAAAAAGAACATTTTTTTCTTCTTTTTTTCATTTTATTTTTAGGTGAAGGAGCTGTGTGGCATGTGGATTAGTCACTCCATACAATAGATGTTTGATTAGAAAAGTTGGGGACAAATGAAATGTTAAAATAGGGGAATCGGCTTACATGTACAATGATTGTTCACTCTTCAAAAGAATCTTATTGTAAGTCTTTTTTGCCAAGCAAGTAATTACCTCTTAATTTTTGTCATTCTTATAAACTTGAATTTTCCTGTATACCACATTTATTTGACACACTGTGGAGTGCTTGTTATGTTTTGAACACTGCGAAGCACTTGGAACAGAGTGGAAAGCTGAGGAAACAGGGCCGTCCTTCACAGAGCGGGCGTAGCTATGGTTGACAACGAGAGCTGCCCAGGGCCCAGTGAGTGAAGGCAGGGATGAAACAATGTCTGAAGAGGCTTGATTTGCGAGGAATTGTGTAGTTTTTTTTTGTGAACAACCCTGCTCAAGTAGTTCAGAACCCTAAGCAGTAATTCTCTATGAGCCTGATGACAAGACTGTATAGTTCAGTTGGCAGTTTTCGCCTGCTGTCTCTTTATGATAATGTTGAATTACGATTGCAGACCCCTCCCTGCAATGTGCCATTTTGTCTGAGTTTTTGGGCCTCTAAGGACACTTTCCAAGTGTTTTGGGGGTTCACACCCCCATAAGGTGTGCCCTAGAGGCACATGAGGCACATTCCCCAGGCCTCTGAGACCCTGAAGATTCACAGCTGCGGCGAGGCGCCCACCGCCCATCCCTGCTCCTGCCCACGCGATTCGCTTGGGGCAGGACCCCACTTCCCTGGCATGATCAGTGAAGTCCCAGAGTGGGGGTTTCTAGAAGTTCTTACAAGGCTTACAGAAGTTTAGGACAACCTAGCACAGTTCAAACTTGAGGAGACCGCCTTCCATGAGATGGTTTCCACACACTATCTGGGCTGAAGACCTTTCCATCCCCGCTTTCAGGCGGCTGTGGGACTCACCCTGCTGACCCGGGCCAGCAGTCCTGGAGTGAGAAGCCCCTGCTGCCTCTCAGCTGTGCCACGTGGCAGAAATATGTAGCCTTCTGAGCCCTCTGAGGCAAGGTCAAGTGACACTTTGCCTATAAATGCTTTCCCTCAAGCTCCCTTTCAAAGCAAAGGGATTTTCCACAAAGGCAAATTTAAAAAAAACAACAAAACTTAGACTATATCTTCAGCAGTATCTCCCTTCAGATTAGTAAGATGGACAGGTGTGCACCTGTCATTAAAGAAGTAAGATGCCTGTGAGTTGCGCTGCTATGACCTCAGGTTCTAGAATAGCAAGGCAACATTCTTTCGAAGGGCTGTTTCACTTTGCGTTGAACCTCCGTGTAGAACCAATCAGCTTGTTGTCAAAGGGAAAAGGATGGCCCAAATGACAAGAAAACCCCTAGCGCTATGAATTGGTTTGGAAGTGACTTCTCGAAGTTGCCTGAGGATGTTGCCTTACTCAGTATACACTCACCTCTGTCGCTTTCACTCATAGCACCCGAAGAAGAACAGCGATTTATTTCTAACTTGAGGTAGGGAGTAGGGTGAGCGCCCCCACCCCCGCCCCTCCCAGCTTTTGCTCTTTGGTTGGAATTTCAAACCAATTTCTCATAAAGAGTCAAGGCAAAGATAGCTGGGTTTGGGAAGAAAGTATTTGCTATCATTTCCCCATGTGAACTTCAAAAGGGGCAACTGATTAGTTCCTTCTGGCCCTGCTTGGCTCGTGACAAGAGAAGGGCTGGCCTGGGTGAAAGGATGTCTCTTCATTCTTAAAGCGTTGAGCCCTGCTCAAGAGAGACTATTGCTGATGGCTGCCAGTAATTTCTACCCTTTTGAAATCAAATGGCAGTGTAACATTCTCTGGGATAATAGAGCTAAAAGCTGTGCAGGAAGCTACAATAACTACTTCAGTTTGATCTCTGAGTAATTGCTCAGTTCTTAAAGGAACCACGAGTCCCTTGTACATGGAAAGTGCTCAGTGCAGGGTAGCTGTGCTTGTTATTTTATTTTCTTTATGATACATGAGCTATAATCTTGAACTGAAATGTTTTAGCCAATGCTTATTAATTCAAACGTAGCATAAAAATCATCGAAGAATCAAGGTATAAAGGAAGGACACTCAATAATGTACTTCTTGAGTTCAAAACTAGGTAACCCCCCCCCCCCCCGCCCCCAGGAAACAACTTGTCTTTTCACTAAGGAATCGTGATCCTCTAGTTATTTGATTTGGATTAGATAGGGGATGGGCTGCCTCACCGCAATAAAAGGGGTTACATACGTGATGCTGAGTGAGATAGAAGCAGAAAATTCTCTTCTAGGGCTGCAAACTGTAAATGGTTTATTTCAGGGGAAAATTGAATCCACAGACTCAGCACTAAGAAATTCCTCGGCTAAAAGTCAGAGATAATTGGAAGCTTTTAATATAATGACGTAAGTGCCAACTTGCGGGGCATTGTCGCAGGGAGAGGTAAATCCTCGGACCCTGTGTAGGAATGCAGGACGATTTTAGGTTTCTCTGCCTTTATTTCATCCATTCGTACCTGAGACTCCTGCCTTTTCCAGAGAATGAAACATAGCGACAGGCACATAGTTGATGGCTAAATTTGAGGGGGACTCAAATGTAACGGAAGAGACACACGAGTTCAGTTTGATCCATTTCAACAAATACATGCACCTGCTGGGTTCACGGCAGCGTGCTGGACCCTGGGGGCTGCGGGGGGAAGCAGCGTGTGCCGCGACCTCAGGGGGCTTACGCGGAAAAGGAAGAAATAAGAGGTATAGAAAGGTTTTTCAGGGCCAGTTTGGAATCCTCATAGGTTTCTTAGTCGGCTCAGGCTGCCATAGCAAAATACCATAGAGTGGAAATTGGCTTAAAGAATGGAAATTTATTTTCTCACAGCGCTGGAGTCTGGAAGTGCAGGATCAGGGTGCCAGCAAGGTCGGGGGCTCTTCCTGGCTTGCAGCCCTCTCACTGGGTGCTTGTCCTATCCAGCCCATTTCTCATTTACCCCCCCGCCCCGCTCCAGAAAAGCCTTATTTACAAATACAGTCACATTGGGGGTCATCTTCAACATAGGAATTTGGGGGGCACAATTCAGTCCATAGCAATAGATCCTCACCCACATTACAACAAATATACTAAAATATACTCATACTATAAATTGTATCCATATATTTTTTTTTGCTGTACAGTAAGTGAAAGGATTTATATAATTTTGCTTTTGAAATGATCTGACTGAGTCATTTGTGATTGGTGCCTGCTTGCCAGCAGTCATTCATACCTGGGATTTTTTTTTTCTTTTTATGAGAGAATTATAAGTTGTTTCCAAAGGTAATAAAATATTTGTGCAGTTTCTCTATTTTGGAGGCAATACGTGTTTCCCAGTCTCACTTGGGTAGGCTCCCGAAAACCTCCTCAGGCCCTGAGGGTGGCCTCTAGTGCCCCCCGGATAACAAAGGGGCTGGGTCTGTTTCATGGCCGCACTTGCCACTTCTAGACGGGCAGCTCCCAGCCCCAAGCCCTCTGGCGCGGCATCTCCCGCTCTTTGCCCTGCGATGCCTCCTCGGCCTGTGTCCCTCCAGCACTTCAGACTGTGGGCGTTGCAAGCAGCCTCCTCCCTTCCGACCTGCCTCCTGGCTCCGTGAAGTGGCATGCTGGGATTTGAACTGAGGCCTCTTGCTTTCACATTTGTGAACTGACTATTACAAAGCCCGAGAAACACTGAGGATATAGACTGGACATGGAGTTGGAAGGACAGGATTTGGAATAATAACGTCGTTAGTAGAGATTGGGGCGTACAGAGGAGGTATGGTGAACGGGGAGGGAGGGAGGGAGGTAGTGAGGTCTGCTTGGGCTTGGCATCATTGGGTCCCTGCCTCCTCTTTATGACGCTGCCTTGGCTTAATGGTTGTCCTCTGATCCATCTTCTTGGTTTCCTAATTGGTCACGGTCCTTGACTCCCCAGGGGCCCTGTGCCGGCCCAGGCCGTGGTAAAGCAGCCCACCCGGGGCGCCAGAAGCAGGACCACAACCACAGCGATTGTCCAGACTGGCGGGGACTGGAGCACCGGCCTCTTCAGTGTCTGCAGAGACAGGAGAATTTGTATGTTTTTCCTCTTCATTTAAGTTCTTCCTTACTACTTTCCTTCCCAAGGAATCAGTGGGTAGAAAAGCAACCTCAGGCAAAAGGACGGAAATTAAATCGTTTCAGAATAACTGAACTAATCCTCTACTGACTCAAATGCACTTCTTGGCAGGAAAAAAATCCCGCCTTTCAGAGATGTGGATGCTTTTATAGAGTAGGTGGTGACTTAAAGATTTTTTAAATGGCAAAGTACACTTTTGATAAAGATGCACTAAATGCTACAGACTTGCTGGTGGATGGTTTAGTAATACATATAAAAAGAACCTCAAGTGTTACATAGCTTTTGACCCAGTAATTACATTTTCAGGCGTTCAGTTTAAGGAAATAAATCATATGGAAAGATTTAGCAGCGGCATGAAATTTTGCAGCATTGGTTATTATAGCAACAATCTGGACCACCTAAATGTTCAGTGACGGCATCATCCAATGAATTATTATACAGCCATGAAAACTCATGTTGTCGAATAACATTTAATGGGATGGAAAGATGTTTTGGATACATTTTTAAGTTAAAGAAGCAGATTGCAGAGCTATGCACCTTAGATACCATTTTGAGGGGAAATACTTAGAAAAATATCTGGAAGGATACAAATACAAATGTTTTCAGCTGGTGTCTCCAGATGGCAGGCTAATGCGTAATTTTTTAAAATTTTTACTTCTCTCTCTCTAGTATTTCTATGAGGAATATGTGGTGTTCTTACAACTATAAGAAACCTTATAAAAGAATCCCCCTTGATTGAAATTTTTGCAGACAGTGGTTCAGAAACACCAGCAACACCATCCTCTAACATCATGGTTTTCCCCTGGGATTGAGGTTCAAAGCTCATTGATTCTATTTTTACCTTGGGACATTCTGATCCATCTCTGGTGCCACCTGTCAGTATCTTCTTCCAGGACCTGATGCTCTTGCCCTAGGGAGCAATTTGATCACTGAACTTTTCTCAGAGTGTGTGTGTGCGCGTGTGTGCGTGTGTGTGTATGTGCATGATTGGGGGGTTCCCTTTGAAGGATGAGGATCAGTCCCTTCAGTTCAAAATCCAACAGACCCTGGATGCAATATTTTTGAAGAATATGGCTCTCCCCACTCCTTACAGGCTCTGGGAGGATCTGAATTTGTCCCAAAGTCTACAGGATGGATCAGGGAGAGAGCTCTGGACTGTTTACATGATCCAAGTCCTTAACCAACCAAGAGTCTTGCGGAGAGAAAAGCTCTGACATCCTTTGGTGCTCGGATCATCTGGGCTATGCCTTCGCTGCCTGGGCCTCCGGACAAGAGGCTGCCCAGCCCCAGACTCCACCTACCTCCTTTTCCCCTCTCTGCCCACCTGGCCTAGAGCTCAGCAGGTTTCTTCCTACCACTGCTACCCGTGTGGATGTCTGACCAGGCAATAAGGCAGTTCCCTGATTCTTGCAGGAGCCTTCCTGGGTCTCATCCAGATTTTCTGACTTTGGTTATCATGTAGTTTCGAGGCACAGAGAAGGCAGAACAGCCATGAAGAGATGAGAAGACCCAGCCCCGGATGGGGAAGTGAACCACTTTCCTTTCATAGCTTGTGGTTGGGGTTTGGAGAGCCACCAATTTCCAAGTAGGGCAAAGCTTGGGGTATAATGTAGTGATTAGGAGAACATGCTTGCATCAGATATAGACTTTGCTTTTAATCTTAACTGCCTTTTCCTGGTCATTTGATCTCAAACAAATTCTCTAAAATGAGGATAATGAAGGTGCCCACCTCAAGGGTGGTTGTCAGGATTAAAGAAGACAATGTATAGAATCCACTCTTCTCAGTGGTTTGGAACATAACTGGATCAGAGTTTTTTTGGTTGCATGTTGTACTGGGTTGAATAGTGTCCCCTCAAAATTCATGTCCCCCTGGAACCTCTGAATGTGATCAGAGGTTGAAACAAGAGTTTTTGCGATCTAATCAAGTTAAAAAGAGGTTATAGCAGATTGGGCTGGGCCCTAAGCCCGTGGCTGGTGTTCTTATAAGAAGAGGGAAATTTGGACACAAACAGGCAGGAAAGAAGGTCATGTGAAGGTAGAAGCAGAGACCGGAATAATACATCTATAAGCCAAGGAATGCTAACGATTACCAGAAACCACCAAAATCTTGGAGCAAGGCATAGAACAGACTCTTCCCTCAGGGCTTCCAGAGGACCCAACCCTGCCAACGTGTTGATTCAAGACTTTTAGCCTCCAGAATTCTCCAGTGACAGAATAATTTCTCTTGTTTTGCGATGCCCAGTTACTGGTATTTTGCTCTGGTGGCCTTAGGAAAATAACACTCAAAGCAAACATTGGATTTCGTTAGAAGGCTATGGGATAACTCACAGAATCAAAAACTCAACTGAAAACTAAGCTCAGAAGGGACAAGATGAGCATTATCAGGTGGTAGCTAAGAGTCTGGTCAACTCCAAACATGTTTATCCTTCTGCTTTTCTCTCTGAGAACTGATGTTTCAGCAGATGGAGCCCAATTTGCCTAGCTTAGGTCACATGCTACTGCTTGGCCAGGCCTGGACATTTTGCATGAGAGTTCTATCAATATTGCCCACAATATTAAGGGGTAATTTCTTAAATTTTTCTGTTGAGATGCTGTTACCAGCAAAATCTCAATATAGTCAAGTCTTGGTTCTCGAATATCTCCCGTCTTGAAAAATTCAGTTCTCGACCAAGTTGTTGGTGGGAAAAAAAAGTCTCAGCTGTCAAACAAAACTTCAGTTCTTGACCCAACAACACTTTCATGCTGATACCTGCATGATCAGTCAAAGGAGATTTGGTTTTTGAACAAATTGGTCCTCAAACAGCTTTCCGGAACAAATTAAGTTTGAAAACTGAGGTTCCACTGTATATATACAATAATGCACTTAGTGAATCTTTGGTATTAATATTATTATTACTATACAGTTTTACCACCCTCCAGCATGTTGAGAGCAAAGAGTAGGGTCAGGGAAGTTGGAATGGCAGCTGCAGAGTGAGTTCTACTCGATCCCAGGAGTACCCAGGAAGTTGGTCCAGGACAGGACCGCTCGTCACCACCCCCTCTGCCTTAAATGTGTCACTGCTTAGCTCTGTTCCCCACCCTCGCCAGTGTTGAGGAGAGCACCCACACTGGTCTTCTCAGCATTCCCTGCCTGTCCGTTTGATAGCCGATTCTAGGGGCAAGGCAGGGAGGAAGGACATGTGAAGAAACACAGACAATATTCTTTACAACTGGGCACGATCCCTGGAGGACAGGCCATGCATATACAGCACAATGATCTTGAATGTTCTGTGTCCTAATTGTCGTTCCCCGGATAGGCTTCTATTTTGTGACTGCTTATTGTTTTTCAAGCTAATTGTCTCAGAAGAAAATTGAAAGGCGATCTCCCTTTATCCACTTGTTTTCTGTGCCATACTTCCTCGGACGCCGCTGGAGCATACGTGCCATGAATCCTGGGCTTCTTTCCATCCTTGTTCAAAAGGGCTACTTCACCCACAAAATTCTATTTTCAGCAAATTGCTGTGAAAACAGTTGTGACAAACTCAGGAACAAAAGGAGAGCTTCTTGCCATGACTTTGTTCCATGTCCGGTTCCCAGCTTGGGACAGTTGGTTCTCCATTAAATGCTGAGAATTATTGCTACCATTTGTCATCCATTAAGCAAAAGGCACGTTATGAACAGTGATGATTTCCATTTCTTTTAGACATTCTGCTTCTTCATTTTCTCGTAATTATAGTTTTGAACTGCCTCCCTCTCCCCACCTCTGTGCTTTTTTACCTGAATTCGCACTGCACTGTGATTAGCAGACGGGCTTCTGTTCCCTTTGAAGATGTGGATGCTGAAAGCTCAGATGTGAAGGTGAAGCTGAGCTGAAATACATGGCTGCTACATGGTGTTGTGGGCAAAAGGCTTCAGGAATGTTTGTGATGTTGCCCCAGAGAAGGTTTACGTGGAAGGTATAGTCAGCATTGATTTGCAATGCATCCAACGTTTACTGAGTTCCTACCTATGTACAGACATGTGACGGGCATTACAGAAACAACAGTGAGTGGGACAGAGGCGTTTTCTTAGAGGAGGTAGACAATAAGCAAATAAGTCAGTAAACCAGATAATTGCAATGGTGGTAAGTGCAATGAAGGAAATAAACAGGGTGTTATGAGAGGAGGTTACAAAGGTGTGGGGTAACGGGTTGCCTCTCCAAGGAATTGGCTTAAGCTGCTGTCTGAAAGACAGGACTGAGCCAACCACGCAGCCTTCCTGTGCAGGGGAGGGCACCGCAGCGCCGGGCCGGAAGGAGCTTGGTGTGCACCAGGCACCATCAGATGCTCAGGGCGGGCAGAGGAAGTGGGTCAGGATTTTCTTCAGTTTTCTGGAAGAGGAAGGAAGCTCGAAAAGGCCTCAGACTGGGATTCACGTCCCCCAACAGTATCCTGGGTTAACGGTCCACTCTCTGAAAGCAGGGACCACTGTCTTCTAGCGCACAGCTCTGATGCCCAGCAGAGCGCTGGGCCCATTGGAGGTGACTCCTGGGAGGTGCTCCATTCCATGCATGAATTTTAACCTGTATTCTCACTTGCTTCTCTCTTTCTCACACTTCATTGAAAGAATCAAAAGGCCTCGGAGTTCGAAGAAACATGGGGGTCAGTTGGTTACCTAAGCTGCTTACCTAAGTCCCTTCTGCAGCACGTGGCAGGACCTGACAGCGTTGGCTTTCTGAAGGTTTCCGGGGAGGGGGATTTTGAAGAGGTTGCCACGCATATGATGCCAAATTCAGAAGGACCCCTTTGGTATAGGAGCCACTCCATTATTGCCCTCTGTCTACCCAGTTCTCCTCGGAGCCAGCTGCTCTTACCTGAGTCCACGTATAATCTATATGCTTGTAAAGGTACACCAAAACTCAAAAGAAAGTAGATTAATTTTTTTATTATAAAAGTATCATAAAATCATTGTAAAAAAAAGAAAAATACAAAAGACTATACAAGAAAAAAGCAGGACCCTGTAATCTCAGCTGTCAGAGATCACGATTGTTAGTATTTTCATATTTATCCTTTCAGACTTTTTTTGCTGTATGTGTGTGTTCATAATTTATACAAACAGTAGACTTATAAACACACTGTTCTGCACGTTTGTTTTAGAAATGTACATCTAGGTGATCAGACCCTATCAGCGCTTCTGGAGCTAATATTTTAAATTGCTGCAGAGATTCCATTGTACAGTATGAATGTACTATAATTTACTCAGAAATCCCCATATGTGGTTTCCAGATGTTTTGCTATTCAAACCAATGCCTGTGAATATCCTCATACCAATGTCATTTTGCATGTGCGTGACTTTATCTGTTGGCTAATTGTTGTAAATTGTATATTTAAATGCACCGTTTTAAATCTCGCTAGATGTTGCGAAATGACTTTGCATTTGGAAGTTGTACGACTGTACACTCCCACCCACAATGCATGAGTGTGCCCCATTTTTGTTTGGAACAACTCTTACTATGGTTCTGCTTTTTTGTAACAATTGATCTGAAATGCACCTGCTGCAGTTTCTACCCACCTTTCCTATGTTTGATCTCTGGGCTCCACACTCTGGTTTTGTGTAGGCTGCTTCTTTTTATTTCGGCTCCCTGATGAGTTGAAACGATGACTAATGAACCACATCCCGTGCCTGAGGGTGGAGCCCATCTCGGAGAACAGGCAGGGGACATTTAGGCTGCGGGAGCTTATAGAACCACCACCGTGCCTTTCAGTGGAAGAGGCTGAATTTCTGGCTCCAATCCCTTTTGAGACTAAGCATCTTAGCTCTATAAGCAAAACATAAATGGTATTACGTTGTAATATCACACAATTTTATTTAGCTCAAAATATGTCTTAAGATTTAACTCTGTTGGTACTTAATTGACCTTTCATTGCATTTTTAATTATGGTATGATATACACCATCATGGTTCAGTTACACTTTCATCTCTTAATGTACATTTAAGTTGTTTTAAGTTTTAATGCTGCAGTGGATATTCTTGTACCTGCCTCTTTGTGAGCAGGTGTAAGCATTGATGAGTGGAATTGCTGGCCCCTGGAAGACTGAAAAGTTTACTGGGTCCAGCCAAGTCACCTCCCAGAGCTGCCGTGCTAATTCCTGTTTCCATCAGTGCACAGAGAACCTATTTCACCATCGTTGCCCACAGTGTTTGATCTTAAAAAGCTTTTGCCATTCTTATGGCTAAAAAATGATTTCTGATGGTCTGAACCTGCATTTTCCTGGTTACTAACAACATTGAGCAATTTTTCATGTTTGTTATTAGCCATTGGTATTTCTTCTTTGGTGAATTACCTGTTTGGGTCCTATGTCCATTTTCTTCTTTTGTTTCATCCTTTATATATTGATATATAGGAGTTCTTTGTATATTCTTGATACTTACCCTTGGCCTGTGATATATATTGCAAAGTTTTCTTCTAGGGACTCTTCAAGGCAAAGGATACCATCATCCTGCTCGTGTGCATTTGTCTTGCAGTGTGAGCGGAATGTGTATGTACCACTGTATACCAATGCCGTACAGAGTAGCAAAGATCTTTTCTAAAGAAGTTCTATGATTTAGGACCATCTCACAGGAATAAATATAAAGTAGCAGTAGTGAAGATATTGTCTGGGAGCACACTCATCCACAACCATTGTGACATGCTAAATAAACACATAAAGCATGAGAACGCATGGACATATGGGTTATCTGTAGTCGTTAAGACTTTGGGGCCAGGCTACCCGAGTTCACATCTGGCCTCTGCCTCTTCCTAATAAATGTATGAACTTGGGTAAATTATTTAAATCCTCTGGGCATCGGGTAGCTCATCTGTAAAATGGGTGTCAAAAGAGTATCTATTTAATAGGATTGTTGTGAGCATTAAATGAGTTAATGCAAAGAATTTTTAGCAGGGCTTGGCACGGGGTGAAATTTGTATGAGCATTAGCTATTGTAAAAGTTTAGCTTCATAGTGTTTGTTATCATATCTGATTTCTGTCCCAAGGTAATTGGATTAAGGTGTGTTTCTTTTAGCATCTAGTATTACCTCTTTTTAAAAATAATTTATTTATTCATTTTTGAGAAAGAGAGAGGAAGGGTGAGTGAGAAAGAGAGAGAGAGGGAGAGAGAGAAACATTGATTTGTTGTTCCATTTATTCATGCATTCATTGGCTGATTCTTGTATGTGCCCCGACCAGCGATCAAACCTGCAACCTTGGTGCATTGGGCTGACGCTCCAACCAACTGAGCTACCCAGCCAGGGCTAATACCACCTCTTAATGAATTATTTGATAATGTGATTATATGTTGAGAAGGATGAAAAATAAAAATAACAGCATGTGTTTTTTAAAAAAGGCATACAAGTCATAGAAATAAAGTACAGGAGTCCCAATGCACAAAACAACAATTTCTTTATAATATACTAAATGAGGATGGTGGGCATTTCTCTTTGCAGTCAAAGTGATAAGTGATGTGGCTCAAACAATTATGTGAACACAATTTTTTATTCATTTAGCTGCAATGTTTGATTAATTTTTTATTTGCAGGGGTTGTTACACTATTCTGTAACCCATGCATAAAATGAGATTTGATTGATTTTTATGTGCTGTGATTTCAAAGTCCCTAATTCAAGGTTGCATGCAGTATGACCACTGTGAACTCGTGGTAAATTTACTGGGCCATTTTCTGTCCTCTGAGCTGTTCCTACCAGTTGTCAGTGCTGGGTAGGGCCTGCTGATTTCATTGAGAATAATGATTTTTAAAATGGAGTGAAACATTCCAGACTAAAGCAAGGCCGACTTCAGAGTTTGTCTTCAGCCTGGTGATCCCTACAGTGTGTGATTTAGTGATTATCTTAAAAGTCCTGAATGGGTGAAATCGACGTTCCTTAAAGATAGACCGCTCCTTTTACCCCCTCCCCCACTGCCACCTGCCCCAGTCCTCATGTTCTTTGTATGCCAGCTGCCTCACCCTCTATGTGACATTGAAGAAGTCCAGAGTCCTGGAACATCCCTTGGAGGTTCTGAGATAAAGCAGCATTCCTAGCTTTTTGCTCCTTGGCCATTGAACTTGGAAATGGGACTTTGCAGGCAGGCAGAGACAGGAAATTCTTCTAGTGTGCTAGCGACGTGGCATGTGGGCCTTTGTGTCTGGCGCACTAGAAGTCTTTGATCACTACCATGTCACACTCCCTAGAATGGTTAAAATAAGAAAGACTGACAATAGCAAACATTGGTGAGGACGTGGAACCACAAACTCAGACATTGTTGGTGGGAGTGTTAAATGCTACAGATCCTTGGGGGAACTGTTGGTTAATTTCTTGTGAAGTTAAATGTAAATCTATCCCATGACCCTAGAAATTCCAGTTCTAGGAATCCACCCAAGTGAAATGCCCACATAAAGACTTGTATATGCATGTTCACAGTACTTATTCATAATAGCAGAGATTGGAATAATCAATGGGAGAATGGAGAATTTGTGGAATATTCATATTGTAGAATACTATTCAACAATAAAAAGAATAAACTGCAGCTTCACATAACAACATAGATGAATCTTAAGAAACAGTATGTTGAACAAACGAAAATTACAAAAGTTAACATGATTCCATTTGTGCCAAGTCCAAGAAGAGGTAAAGCTTACCTATGGGACTAGAAGTCAGCGTAGTGGCTGCCTCCGGAGTTGGGGTGAAAGGTGAGGATCAACTGGGAAGAAGCACAGAGGAACTCCCCAAAGTAGGAGGTTGGGTGACGTGGCTGAATATGATTGTTAGACTCATCGAATTGAACATTTATGACCTGTGCATTTTCTTGTCTATAAATACCATATTTATTGGAAGTATTTTAAAGGTTACGATGGGCTTGTCTTTCTGTTTTATAGTCTTAATTATTTGTACTTATCAAGGTTGTCATCTTTCTCAATGCGAGCTGATATGACTTCTAACTGTACCTTGGGGGTTTTTAACCTGAGGTTCGTGGATTGTGTTTAATGGATCCTGATCCTCGTGGAACTGAAGCACAATTCTGCATGTGTGTGTGCATGTGTTTTAATTTTCCCTTGAGAAGTGAGTTCATAGCTATCAACATATTCTCAAAACAGTCTGTGACTCAAAACATGCTTAAAACAGAACCTCTGTGTTAGATAGTTCATGCAGAATGTGTAGGAAACAGTATCAGTAGCTAAAGATGAATGAAAGAATGAATCTATGACAAACTGTTTCCAGTTGATGGTCAAAGAACCAAACCTCCAGTAGTTTACAGACTAAAACTGGCAGATGTCAGTGGCTCTGTTGAACTAGCAAAAATATGAGTAACCTCCTACCTGCGAAATAGAATAAAGTCCTGATAAGAACAGCAGGCAGAATCAGCGTACCAGTAAAGGGCTTGCAATCCCATTTAAAGAGCAAGATACTTGTTATTGACAAGTATCATATACCATGCCCATATTATATATTGAAATTAGAGAGATAAACATAATAGAAGCAACGGTTGCAATTAAATTGAAAAAAAATTATTTAATGCTTTCTCTTGACAGGAAAAAACAATGACCATCGTGAATGCTAACAGAATTGTATCAGGTTCAGCATTGCCAGTGTTTAACAAAATAAGACAGATTTGACATGGCTCAGTCTTGGCAATTTTTATACACAGAGTTTTGAGAATTGGTTATTCATTCTCAGTCCCTGATTCCAAGGACACAGGGCAGCATTAAATCGATGTTATTAGATTGTAAATGCTCTTTGAGATGGGAAGTTTCGCTGATCACATCTGAGAACCTTGGCTTTCTTTTGTGTGGTTATATTGACAGGTTTCTGTGGTCTGTTTTGTCCCATGTGTCTTGAGTGTGACATCGCCAGGCATTATGGAGAGTGCTTTTGTTGGCCATTGCTACCTGGGTCCACCTTTGCGCTGAGAGTTGGCACCAGAGAGAGACATAAAATATGGGTAAGTGTGTTTGAATGTATATGTGAGCCTGGATGCCTTTCAAATCTGTGCTTTTTGAAAGAAGAAGAAGAAAAAGATGAGTCAGGGTAAGGATGCTTACACACACTTAGTGGGCCCTGGCTGGGTGGCTCAGTTGGGTAGAGCATTGTCTTATAGACCAAAAGGTTATGGGTTTGATCCCCAGTCCAGGGCACATACTGGAGGTAACCAATCAATGTTTCTCTCTCACATCAAGGTTTCTCTCTCTCTCTCTCTCTCTCTCTCTCTCTCTCAAATCAATAAAAACATATCCTCAGGTGAGGATTTAAAAAAGAACACCTAGTGGAAGACTCTGGAAAAGGAAAGGGAAGAAATTTCTGATTTCATTCGTTACTAGGATGTATATATACTACCCAAAATGTCACATTGTAAACGGTATTTCCAAGGAGAACTCATTATAAGGCAGATCATTGGTCAATGGGCCATTTTTGTTTCTGTCATTGCATTAAAGGAAGATGACATGTAGAATTGCATCAAATTTGGAAGACATATTTGGAATGGTCTGACTTAAAATGCAGCCTATGTGACATACGCAGAATTCACTCAGAGGGCTTCTTGGGGAAACTTCAAATTTTCAGTGCAGCTGAGACTGAGTTACAATGAGATACTTCAGACACACAGCACACATATTAAGATGTGGACGGTTGAAAAAAAGCATCTCTTTATATATTCCTGTAAATTGTCCCTAAGATATATTTTTAAGTGAAAAAAAGGGCACGGCATAGAAGTATGCAACTATTTACATAAAAGCCTACATATATACACTTGTGTGGACAGAATTTATTTGGAAGTGTAGTTAACAAAATACCACCACGATGTGCCCCTGGACAGGTAACTGAGTGCCTACAGGGCACCTGTACTCGGGAAATTTACTTTTTTACTTCCGATCCCTTCTTATTGTGGGAATTTTGGACCTCGTGGTCTCATTACCCATTTCAAAGGAAGAAAGAAAATAATTATAAATATTAAGTCCGAAGAGGGAAAAAAAAAAAAGATGTTGCCAGAGAAAGCAGTGGTTTCAAGCATGAAGGCGGGATCAAAAGCCCAGAGAGCAGGTCTTTGAATTGCAAGGACTGATTAGCTGTTGGGCCACTGGGGACCTGGGAGAGCCAGCGGAGCTGTGTGTGTCCCCACGTGCTGGCCTGGGGACGTCAGTGTAGGTTGAAAGCTGAGCAAGGGCTGGGCCACCAGGTAGTGGTGCGGAGGTCCCTGGGTCATGGATGAGCTCGCACAACTGCACCGGGACAGACCCTGGCTCTCCCCCAGGGCACGCTCTGCGAGGACTGGCTGGCCGTGCACTGCTGTTGGCCCTTTTCCATCTGTCAGCTGGCCCGGGAGCTCAAGACGAGGACCTCCCAGCTCTACGAAATCTCCACGGCCCCTTCGACGAAAGACGTCTTTATATGACGGAGCAAGAAAACTCGTCCCTCCCCTTGCCCTCCTCTCAACACCCTCTCAGTCGAGAGATCATTCTCATTAGGCTTTCACTAAAATAGATGCAAATAAATGATTCTCCTCCCCCCACTATCTTTACTGTTGTTCTTCCTTTACACAGCCCCCCAGGGGAGACTGTTCCTTGTCCGGATTGGCTGGGCCTGGGGTTTTGGAAGGCCGCATTTTGCACCGTCTTCCTGCTGCCGTCCTTTCCTGAGGGATGTTTGGGAAGCTGGGAGAGTTGTTATGTGGCTTTCTTATGATGAGCCCCTTTCCCCAAAGGGCCAGTGATGGGGCAGGAGGTGGTTAATTTTAGTTAGCACCTGGGCTGGGCACTAAATGTCCCCGGAATACAGGATTATCCCGACCCCCTGCAGTCCCAGCCCTCGGAGCGGAAAGCCTCAGGGCGCTGCCGATCTGGAAGTCCTCTCCTCAACTTGAGAATCTTCAGCCCCAGGCGCAAAGCCGTAGGCAACTGTTCTGGTTGAGCTGAATTGTGTCTCTTCCCTGCCCCTTCCCAAACACAGGGTGAAGTCCTCCCTCCTAGTACCTGTGAATGTGACCTAATTTGGAAATAGGGTCTTGTAATTACGTTAAGAGGAGGTCATTACGGCGGGCTGCTGTCCTTACAGGAAGAGGAGAAAAGAGACCTAGAGACACCAAGGCAGCCCTGTGACCCTCATAGCAGAGAGAGGAGCGATGCTGTCACGAGCCAAGGACGGCCTGGGGCTACCAGAAGCTGGAAGAGGCAAGGTTGTGGAGAGAGCGTGCCTGCCAAAGTGTTGACTTTGGACTTGTAGCCCCCAGAACAGTGAGAGAATGTTTCTATTGTGGCACTTTGTTACAGCCGCTGTAGGAAACTAATATACCCACCATCTACCAGGTGAATAGAATCCCCTGGTTTTTGTTACGGCGTTCCCCCTCGCCCCACAGGACATTGCTGAGGAGACTAGATTCTGAAGCCAAACTGTCTGCTTCATATACTAATGGTATAACTATACCCAAATTTGCTAATCTCTTTGTGCCTTAGTTTCCTTATCTGTAAAATGGTAGTTCTAACCTCACAGAGCTCTGAAGATTCTAACAGTCAAGACACTTAGCACAGTGTCTGGCAGGTAGCAAGGGCTCAGGGAGTCTGAGCTGTTCTGTTGCAACCTGGTGTTTGTGGCACATTATACTGGTTTTCTGTTTACAGTTGATATATACAGTTTTTAATTAAAGTTAAAATGAAAATGAAGTCAATTAAAGAAAGGATATTAAGTAAATGAAAATATAATACAGGATATATTATAGAATTGGACACTTAAAACCTGTTATTTTATTAACTAATGTCACCCCAATAAATTTAATAAAAAATAAAAAACATGGGTGATTGGTGAATATGGCAAATATTGTGATGGTAGAACCCTAATTCTCTTGAATACTTACATGTGTCAAGTACTGTTCAAAGCACTCTCCATGTTTTAAGGCCTTTAATCCTTCCCTTCCCTCACGTAGGTAGTATTACATCTTCATTTTCCAGAAAAAGAACCTGAGCCACAGAGAGGTTAAGTGAGTTGCCCAAGGCCACACAGCCGGTAAGGGACAGGCAGTCCAGTTAGGCTGTGCTCCTAACGTCTGTGCTAAGCACAGAAGGCTTCTGGCTACGAGGCCTTCTTGGACCCTTGCAGTTGTAACAAACTGGGGTTTGCTCTGTGGAGGGGACTCAGCCTGGTTGGGTGTCTCTCACTCACCCCTGCTCCCAGCCATCCCTATGGACACTAAGCTGTTCCCCTCTGATAAAGTGATTGCTCTCCCTCCAGCCCTCCCTTTTGCATGTTTAGGGCAGCTGCCAGGAACCAAAGCTCTTTGGGAAAATTAACTGCTCGATGCTGACGTTTAATCTGTGATGAAGTACTCCCCTCTCCAAGCCAGAGACTAAAAAAACCAGGCATGAGGGACAGCTCCATTAAGTGAAAATAAACCTGTTTTATTGTTTCCTACTAAAGCACATATCGGGCTTCACAAGCTTACAGTCGGTAGCAACATGCATTTTTGGCAAAGGAGCCTCGAGTAATCACTCTACTTCCGCATGGGCGACGCCTCTCTGTGTGGAGAGCAGACGGTATTTCACGCACCAGTTTCTGGCCCGTGTGTCTCAGCTGATGTACGAGGTGCGAGTGGACGCCTCCAGCAAGGGAACCACCCACCTGTTTTCCCCTTCCCTTCTTCTGATCAGCCTGGGTGGTAAAGAGCACACTTAACACTTCATTAGAGCCACACACCCAAACAGGGAAAGCTCTGGGCTGTGAAGGCAGCAGTACATAAAACAGAGAATTAATACATGGGCAGTTCTTTGGCATCTGATGCTGGAGAGCCGCCCCAAACCTAGGCGGTTCAGAGCCATGACTTCTGGTTTCCTCTAGAACACATCAAGCCCAAGAAAAAAAGGGACTTAACGAAAGCATGAAACTCCTTCCCAGGAGAAAAGATGTTCAACACCAAATACTGAAGTGAGAGACAACGCTGATATTAAACGTCCCATTTCCTCAGACTCACAGCCCGCTGTCAGTGGTCCAGCTCTGAGAGGTACCCAAGAGTGAAGGCATGATCTGTGTGTTGTTCTTCTGGCTAGAAAGTTTCGTTTGGTTTTCCAAGATGCAAAGTGTGAAACGAACCTCTGATGACTCCATGTGGGTAAATAACACCAACGCACATGCAACAGACATTGCAAAGTAATTCATACAAATGACAACACCAGAAATCCAACAAACAAAACTCCACCAAACTTTTTGCATATTTCCTAGTGTATGCTTTATAGTGGCATAAACTAAGAAATAAGCTGCTAGGCCAGGAAGCCTGTATTTTTTTGAAACAAAGATATGAAAAGTTTGGAAGTCATGGAGTGTTCACTATCCTATAAAATGAATTTTTATATATTTATAGATTTTATATTATCTAAGGTTTATTTATACAATAGTCCATAATGACTAACATACTTTTTTTTTATAAACAGTATTCGCACACATATTCCTCACAAAGATTTTCCTTTGGTTTGTTAAGAACATTGTACTTAAAAAATAAAACAAGCAGAGAGACAAGAAGAATCTGTAGCTTTTTCTGCTTATATTTCCATGGAGGAGGGAATTATTCTCCCCTTTCATTTTCTCTTCCCTCTTTTTTTCCCTAAACAACACCTTCTCCCCACCCTGACCCAACATGTAGTAAGAAGAAGCAATAATCCCAAAAGATGAAACTCAGACTTCATGATTAGCACATTATTCTGGGTTAAACTTCTGGGCTGACCTCCTTCAGATTATAATCCCCAGATTACAGTGCATCTTTGCTCTGCTCCCCACCCCCTCCCCACCCTCCACAACCCCCACCGCCTTTTGATTCATAACCATTTGGACTCTATATGCTGGAACCGACAGTCCAGAGATGAAAACTTTAGGAAATGAGGGAGCTTTTCTTCACCTCCTGGGGTTGGCTGGGAAGAAATCAGAATCTTCATTTTGTGTTTTTAAGAAAATAATGGTTGGTCGGTTAAGCAGGTTCAGAGGACAAGCTAACTCTCCGCAAAACCTTCCACCATAAGCCTTGGAAATTTCCCAGACACTTCAAAACCAGCAAATGGAAAGAATAGGAGCGGTGGTTTCCAGTTGCTCCGAATATGAGAGGGGAAGCCAATGCAGAAAGAAAGCCTGAACGAGAGGGCTTGAAGATGAAGCTGTGCTCAGCCAGCGTGGTCTCATGGTTTCTGGGGATTAGGAGTTACGTTGTCTCTCCCAGTTTATAGAACTTGCTTTCGTTCTATGACGAAAACTTGTGGGCAGCCTACCTGTACTTAACCAGTCTGTGTATCATCAATTAAAATAAAATTCCTTCCAACTCTGACATTCAATGACTTTACCCTGGAAAATGAAGTCATTGAAACCTAATTATAGGTGCGCTGGAAGGCCTCATAGTAGCAACAGGCAGATTCCAGGATCTGAAGGCAGCATCTCTATATTCATTGCTGCTGAGGCTAGCGAGGAGCCAGCCCAACCTGATTTCACCCTAGAAGAAATGGAACCAATGTTTTAGTGCCAGCGGTTCAGAGAAAAGGGATGACGGACAACTGGCAGCATCGTCATTGACCATGTGTAAGAAGATGTCATCACTGCATTATCCTTTTTGTGGTCTCCTCATACCTCCTGCTTTCTCACGCACCCCTTGGCAGGTAAAGCCAATACTTTGGGGCTTCTTGTTGCTTATTATCACATTCCCCTAGGGTTAACCAAGGGAGGGGTGTGCTTAAGAAGTCCGAGTTACTCACCCCATGAAGGGATGAGTGCTGGCTTTATGTAGCAGAAAAACATGTCTGCACCCACAAAGCACAGTCCTCTCTCTGCTCAAGCTTTGGCTGATGGTTGCCCCTGCTTACAAGCAGGCCCGAGGATGCTTCGGTGCCAAGTTATGATCCTGAACTTGAAAACCACCAGCATATCCTAATGATGCTGCATTCTTGTCACTGTCTTTGGTTATCAGGGCAGCATGTGCTTTTAAAAATGAAATTCTTATGGATGTCTTAAGTTAATGGAGAAGATGAAAACATATGATTCAAAGAGCCTCAGGGTATTTGTGAGTTGCATTTATCTGTGTTAGCACAGACAATTTAAAAGTATACAATTTTTTTAAAAACCGGGGTAGGCTATCTTCTAATGACTTGTCCGTTAAAATGACTTATTTCTGAACAAAAAAGAATGCACTTTTATATCGTTAGAGCCGAAATGGCCTCTCTGTAAGTATTGCAGTCTGTGGCATCTCTCTTATGCCATGATGGATTTTTCTTATCTGAGAGTCTTTAGGTACCAGGGCCTTGTTTCCTTGACCAGGATGTTCTAACAGAAGCCCTCTGGGTCTGAAGGCATTAGTGTGTGGCAGGAGGAGACAGAGTGGAGCTGGAATGGAAGAGGATGACGATGCGGCAGAGGCAGTAGGGTGCTCGGTTGGGAGTCGGGCAGGGGAGGGGGTGAAGGACAGGGACCCTGAAGATGCATCAGCCTGTCTTGCTTGAACACCCCAGAGAATGTTCTGCTCTCCCCTGTGCTGCTCGAAATCTGAGCTGGAGTGATAGGCCAGGCACAGAGCTGAAAGGCATTTGATGTCCAGTCGTTCATGTCAGTTAGGTGCCGAGGTGTGAGAAATTGGCAAGATCGCGTTTGGCTTTGACCACAGAACGGAGTAACCTGAAACAGCATATGACATGCTAGCTTTTCACTCTCCTGGCCCACCACCCGTTGATACTGTGGGTGGAGACATATTTGTTCTTTCTCCTATTACGCTTCTGTCTTGGAGGCCAGTCCATTGATATTCTTGTACCATCCCCGATGTCCAAGCAAATCCCATGGTCCACAAACTCTCCATTGAGCAGTTTCCATCCAATCAGATCACTTGTTCTCATCAGTATCCCAGTTGTCGTCAGCTCCTCCTGGGAAGATTACCAAGGCAGGGTCTGTGAAGGGGAAAAAGATTTCAGAATCTCTTTTGTGTGAATGCATCCTGAGCAGTCTATAGTTCTTTAAAACTCTTATGTACCTACCTAAGAAAGAGAGAATCCAAACAGCAAAATGTTCATATGTAGGGAACCTAGCTGAAGGGCATACGGGCCTTCTTTGCACTATTTTAGCAACCTTTGTACAAGTCTAAAACTCTTTCCAAAATAAAAAAGTTAAAATCCACACACCACCAGCATTTCTCTGAGGCCTTAAATATTCTGCTTTGATTATCAAATTCAACTTGCATCCGTCCCCACCCCTGGCTCCCCATCCCATGCAACCAATGGTCCCTCTTCCCTGCCCGCCCCGATCCCTTTCCCGAGGCGGAGCACGGTCACGACAGGCGCAGCCAACACCCCGGGCACACGCGTCCAGGTGAGGGCAGGCGGTTCGAACGGACATATAGGAACTGGCTGCTCCCTATGACTTTGCTGCTGGTGCTCAGCTCTTGGCCCTTGTGGGTGTAAATAAAGCCCCACATAACCATGCTGAAGGGGGACAGGAGAAACCTACAAGAATGATGAGAAATTGGTCCAATAACATTCAGAAAGAATTGCCTTCTAAAAGGCCCAGCCTAAGGGTTTGTCCACAAATGAGTTCCCATGAAAAAACAGTAAAACAGGAAATGAGTAGGAGAGGGAGTTTTCCATCTTCTGCCCAATTTCTTTCATCTGAAGCCTGATTTCTTTTTACAACAAGGACTCTTGCTGATTTAACAGGCCAGTTTTCTCTTTGGAGAAACCTGGATGATGATCACAGCTTCATTCTTGGCTGGGTGGCATGGGACAGTCAGATCTTGCCAGCCGCGTTTATGGGAGACATCAATATGGGGAGTCTTACCTGAACCCCCAGTTTCCAAAGGCAGCATTGTGATCCGTGGCTCCAGAAACAGGGTGTACTGGTGGAGCCCGAGCCTGCAAGCAGGCAGCCACATCTGAAATCAAAACTGAGCTCCTCTGAGCTCTCAGAGTCTGCAAATACCGCGCGGCACTGACTCATTTGCTGCCGCGTCCCACTCGGCACAAGAGCCGCTGAGAGCTGGCCTGGGCGCCAGGTGGCTGCTTTACATTCAGCGGGAGAAGCAGGCACGAACACAAGTCGGTGATTACCAGCCGGCCTTCTGCGTCCCCCCACGTCAAGAATTCACACAGGATTTGAAGCTATGCTGTCTTCACCGAACACCACCAAATGCGGGCAGAGTTTCATCTCACTATTTGCAACTTTTAGTCCTTAAAGGGAAGGCGCCTGGGTTAGACGTAACCTGCTTCTCTTCCCTGTGCTTAGGCTGGTGCCAGCACTGACGCTCGGTGCACACCTTTGGAGATGGGTCAGCTGGTTAATATCGCAATGGGCCCAGAAGTGGCGGCCTTGAATTGCGGCTCGGGCCTGGCATTAGCAGCTGGGATAATGTCCCTCGGAGACGGAAGGCAAGGTTATCTGAGATTACTGCATCTGGGTCCCAAGGGAGTAGCGTGCGGTCTGTTTGCTCTTTTAACTACATTTATTGTGATGTAGCGAGTGCAGAGGCAGGGAAGTAATAAGGAAGTAACTGCCACGGGAAGGTTGGCCGCACATGAATCTGACCTTCCAGGTTGTGCTAAATGATGTAGAAAGAACTTCAACTCTAAGATCGACTGACGTTTTAATGGGCGCCCGAAAATCCCATCAGTGGTAGGAGGTGTGAACTTACCTAGGGCTGGCACTGTGCAGTGCTGGGTAGCAGCCCTCGTTAGTGCTGGGTCTACCAGCCAGGGGCTCTAGGATTAGGCAGGTAATATTTCTTTGTTTACTGAGCACTCAGAGGACGGGTTTATTTGAAATAGAAAACTCGAAAGTCTGCAGGAAACCTCTGTATCCCATCTTAAATGAGGCGGCAAGCGGTTAGCAGTGCAGGCGTGAGTCAGATTGCCTGACTTTATTCCCAAACTCTAATTCTTAGCTGTGTGACCCTGAGGAAATTATTTAATCGCTCTAGGTCTTAGTTTCTCTCTCTGTAATAGGGGGATAGTAACAATATTGACTTTGGTTGTGGTGAGATTTTTAAATCAGTCGATGTAAGTGAAGTTCATAGAACAGTGTGTGGCACACAGCAAGGGTCTATAATTGTTGGCTCACAAGTACTATTATGAATTAAGAGACATCTTGAAGGCTATTTATTTTGATCCTCCTTCTTGATTATCTCAATGGAAAACCCTCCAGGTAGATACAGATTATTCAAGTGGCTCATTGTCATACTCATTCCTAGAGTTGTCTTTGTCTTAAAAATCTAAGTTTCAGTTTCCTGAATTGAGTCCTTAAAATTTTACATCCTAACCTACAAAATGAGGATAATGAGCTCAATATTTAGTTTATATGGTTCTTGTGGGATGGCATTTATTTTTAAATCCTATTTTATAGATGAGAAAATTGAGACTCAGACAGGCGAAGTGACTTGCCCAAAGTCACACAGCAAGTCACACTTGAGACACTACTGAGGTGTTCCATCCAGTTCTATAGCCTGGAATCTTAACCTCTGTGACAGAGAAAGGTGGGGGGAAGAGAGAGAAGGGGAGAGGGGGTGGGGTAGGAAGAAAGAGGAGGAGGAGGAGAGAGGATGGGATGGGAGAGAGACTCACAACTAGCAACAAATAATGAGTATTTTTGAATGAATAAGCGGCGTGCAAATTGAATAAATACATCCTAATAATAACAAATGAGATGGCATTTCATGTCTTGTCTATGCAATTCCAAACAACCATTTTGAGTGCTGAAAAAACGACAGATTGCTTTTGACTGGCTGTGCAGTCATTGCTTTAAAGAGCTGTGAGGGCCCATCCCTGTGGAAGGAGGTGAGTTCTTAAGTTCCTGCAGCCCTGGAAAGCTACAGCCTGAGCTAGGTCCCTTGTTTTAGACATGGAATGGGGCTGGAGCAAAATGCTTCTGACATCACCCACATGTTCACCCTTCTTAGGAAGGCCCTTCCTGGCAGCAAAAAGAGAATTCATCCGTCCTCCACTGATTCATTCAACGTGTATTTATTGTATGATAAAAAAAAATGTTTGATTAATAATGGAATTTCCTCGAGGTGTTGAGCTTATTCCTGTTTACCTTGCCACACTGTATGTCTGGTTCCTTCTTAGTTTTCAAATCTCAGTTCAAATGTCGCCTCCTTGGACAAACCTTTACTGGTGACCCAACCTAATGTAGCTCATACCTCTCAGCCATTCTCTGTCCCATCACCTTGTTTCCTTTATAATATCTATCATATAGAAATAATTCCGTGTGTTCAATTGTTTACCATTTACTCTTCTTCACGAAGGCAGGGACCTTACTTCCATTGTTCACTGAGCTACCCCAACTGAATAGAACAAAACCTGGCACACAGTAGATGCTCAATCAATATTTGCAAAATGAAAATGAATGAGGTGACATTGATTTCTACCCAGGAAGAAAACATTCTGCGACTTTAAATGGAGATGGAGTGAGAGGTAGGACATTGGCCAGGAGCTCCTTGGTTGTAATGGCATGTCCAGCAGCGGTTTGACTAATCAGCACATGCATTTTCTGAAACACAAAGTGTGCCAGGGACATTTAATTTCTGCTAATTGGCACCAAGGAGGAGGGTTATTCCTGAAATCACCAGCCAGCTGGAAGCCTGTCTGTGTCAGACCTATTAGCAAATCAGAATGGGTGTCCTGCAAACCCCGTCGCCAACCAGGTGAAGCTGCACGTCCCCAGGAGGGGCAGCACCAGTGAGCTCGCGGGGTGCATCCAGGGTTGCAGCGAGCCCTGAACCTGCAATCTTCACCAGGTGAGGAGGGGAGGCTATGGTGAGGCCAACCAGAAGAGGAAGACAGATGAGGGTTTTGGCATAAGATGCATTTAACAATAACTCTCATATTGCCTCACCCCTGGTGCCGTTTACCAGTGTATCTGAAAGGTGAGGAGCACAAAGAAGCTGCGATCCCAGAGCGGACCCCACTGCTTCCTCACTGGGGCCTTAGACAAGTGATCTGTTCCCTGAGCCTCAGCTGCCTGATCTATAAATAGGGGCAATAACACTTAACTCATGGGGTTGTTGTGAGGACCAAAGGAGAAAATGCATGAAAGTAATAATGATAACTAACTTTCCAGAGCATTTTCCATACGCTGGGCACTGTGCTAGTGACTAGATGAACGTGATCTCATTTGATGCCCACCAAAGCACTCAAGGAACACATAATTAGTACATGCACTTTACAGGCAAGGGAACTAAAGGTTGGGGAGGTTAAATGACTTGCCCATGGTGACATGGAGAAGAAGTTGGCCACTTGACTCATTGTGCTGTTGACTGCCCTATAACTGTCACTTTATGAGCTACCTCAGGAGTTGGCATTTAGTACCCATCGAATGGGTGGCAGCTACTAAAATTCTGTTCTTATAGTTGGCATTCCTCTTGCTTATCTGTGTTCAAGTCTTTGTCATACCTACAAACTCCTCCTCCGACATCAGCCACTTCTAGGGTCTCTTCTTCTCTCAGGGCATCTGGTCTACCTGTCTCCCTTGATCTTCCCAACACCCCTATAAAGTGCCTATTATTGATTCCATTCTTCAGATGAGGAAAGAAAGTCTCAGAGAGGTTGGTTAAGTTGCAGGACCAGGATCTGAACTCAGGGACATGGGGCTCAAGAACCCAGGTGCTTTTCTTCCCACATAACATGTCTCCATGCTACCTATCATCTTTTAGAACATTGTCCGCCTCAGTGAAGCTCTCTTGACAATCAAAACCTCTTTTTTACTCTGCTCTCTCTGCACGACAGAGGCTAGTTCTTTATTGCACTCTCTATTTTTGAATTGCGCCTCTGCATCTGTTTATTGGTAATAGCTACCACTCACTGAACACATCAATGCACCCAGTACCACAATCAGAGCTGCACATGCACAATCTCGTTTAATCCTGCCAAGAACTCTACGAGGTAGGGATTCTGATCCTGATTTT